TAGGTCTGTGCTAAACTACTCACGCTTCATTGGAAGGGCAATAGAGTTGATGTAGAAGCCCTCCGTGGTCGAGTCCCCCTCCAGCAGGGTGCCGGAAAAGGTCCCTAGATGGGATCTCATGGGTACAGAAGGTTGTGGCGGTGGAAAAGTGTTTTTGTGGATACTTCTGGTGGTTTGTGAATATATGTGAATATATAGGCGAAGAAATTTGGTCACGGGAGTCACGTGGGGCCCACAAGGCAGGGGGCACGCCCTCCACCCTTGTGCCCGCCTCGTGGGTCCTCTGACTTGAACTCCAAGTCTCCTGGGTGTCTTCTTGTACAAGAAAAATCATCGCGAATGTTTTATTCCATTTGGACTCTGTTTGGTATTCCTTTTCTGCGAAACTCAAAAATAAGGAAAAAACAGAAACTGACACTGGGCTCTAGGTTAATAGGTTAGTCCAAAAATAATATAAAATAGTATATTAATGCATATAAAACATCGAAAATAGATAATATAATAGCATGGAACAATAAAAAACTATATATACGTTGGAGACATATCACGCCCTGTGTCTCGCCTTCAGCGAATCCACCTTCGGGACTCGCCGAAGGGGCGACAGAGATGGGCTGGCCCACGCGTGTGGCAGGCGACAACCTCATTTTTTTTCTTTCATTTTTTCTTTTTTTGTACATTTTTTTATTTTATAATATTGTATATATATATATATTAAAAAACACTATAAAAACATTTATATAAAAAGTGTTAATCAAGCGTTCAGAAAAATGAATAATGTAAAATGACAAATTGTTGATCTGTATTAAAAAAAGGATAAATATTTTGATCATCTACATAAAAATCTTAATCAAGCATTTAAAGAAATGTTGACCAAGAATATGAAAAATGTTAATCAAGCATTTCGTAAATGTGAAATCTGTATAGGAAAAATGTTCACCATGTATTAAAAAGTGTTCAACTTTTTATATCATGTACATACAAATATTAGTCAAGCATTGGAAGAAATATTGAACCAGTATTTGAAAAATGGTAATCAAGCATTTGGAAAATGTAAAAGGTGTATAGTAAAATGTTGACCATGTATTTAAAAAATGATGTATTGTTTTGACAATGTATATAAAAATGTTAATCAAGGATTTTAAAAATGTTGAACAAGAAGAGTTTGGGAAATGTTAAATATGTATAGAAAAAGTGTTGACCATGTATTAAAAAATGTTAAATCTTTTTATTTGAAAACAGTTAATCAAGAATTTTAAAAAATCTATAAAATATATAGAAATGTGACCATGTATTCAATAAATTTTAATCTTGTATTTAAGTAGTGTTAGTCAAGCATATGAAAAAATGTAAAGGATATGCATAGAAAACAAATATTGACTATGTATTACAAAAATGATTAATTTGTATTGGACAAAAGTAAGACGTGTATTAGAAAAATGCTGTTGACATATAGAAAAATTTAGAATAATAACCAAAAGAACAAAGAGAATCAAAAATATAAACAAAATAAACAAAAGGAAAAAGAAAATGAAAAAAGAAGAAGAAATAAAATGCAAAAAGTTTGAAAAAATAGAGAAGAAAAAAGAAAAGAAATAAAAAAACGAAAAAGGAAAAAAAAACTGAAGAAAACGGAGAAGAAACAGCGGAAACCTTGATGCTTTCGGACTTCAGTAATCTAGCCGTACTACTCTGTCATGAATCTAAGGCAAAGCCTAAAGCCTAGTCGTTACCTGCACTTGCTCTAGACCAAACGACCAGGGTACGAATCCCTTCGCGCTCCCTTTTCTCTTCTCTCTTTCTATTTTTCTATTTGTTACTATGCGTAAATGGGTGGGCCCGAGTATCGTAGAGCCTTCAACGAGAGATCCTCCCTTTTCTCTTCTCCTTTTCTATTTATTAGTACTATGCGTGAACGGGTGGGCCCGAGTATCGTAGAGCCTTCAACGAGAGATCCTTTTAACTTGCTTAATGCGAGATATAGCGCTCGCCCTGATCTTGGGTAAATGTCAACCGGCTGACACATAGGGTGTGTTTAGTTGCTGGAACGGACCGGAATGTCACGGGTCCGACCCATTCCCCCGCCTGGTTCTCGTGTTCAGTTGACAGATGGAATGATCACCACTTCGTTCCCACGGGCCGAATATTCGCCCCAGATGCGGAACCGGGTGAGACCTCCAAAACGAGCGGACGACGCGGAACTGGCTATCTCCTCGCACTCCCAGAGCATAATTGGTTTGTTGCCAAAAATTGGCATGCCAATGTTTGGCATTGTGCCAAATATTGGCAACTACTTGGTTGGCTACGAGTTGTTTTGCCTCTCTCACATAAAGTTGCCAATAGTTGACAAGTCTCGGTATTGCCAATAGTTGGCAGTGCCAACATTTGGCAAGGCAAATATTGGTAGCAAACCAATTATGCTCCCAGTCCTATCGCCTGCCCTCCCTAGTGCGCCGCCTCCCCCTCGTCTCTCACTCCCTTGATCTGCGCGCACCGACCCACCCCGATTCCTTACCTCACCGCCAGCCAACTCCTGCTCTCTCGATCTGCAGCGCTGCTTCACCCCTGGTCCCTGATCTGGCCTTCCCAGGCGCATCCCTCGTCTCCCTGTGGCGGATCGATTCCCTGGCTCGCGACAGATGGATTTTTGGTGGCGCTCCTCAGCAGCAGCGGCTTGCGGCAGATTGATTCCCTTGATGCTTGCGGCGGCGGCTGTGGAGGAGTAGAGCAGCAACCACGGAGCAGGAGCAGCAGCAGCAGAGCTTGGGCAAGAAGTGGCTAGTAGGCAGCGAAGCAGAAGCAACAGAGAGCAGCATCGGCTAGTATAGATACGAGTATAGCAGCAGTATAGGAATTGCTTGGTGCGTATGTTGGATTGATTCAATAGACAGGTTAATTAGTATAGCAGCAGCATCTAGTTTTTCATGATTTTTGCTTGATGGGTATGTTGAGTTGCTTGATAATTATTTTTTACTTATATATGTGTCTTGTTAAATACTAGAAAAGAGTGCGAATTTATGTTTGAAATATGCTTGAGTATATTTATAAATTGTTGGTATTGCAAATAAAATTCAAATGTTTCTCAAAACTTGACTACTATGTTGCCGAAAATACAAAGAGTTAAAATTATTCATGTTGTTGCTGAAAATCATTCCATTCCAACTCCCGAACCAAACACCAGAACATAACTATTCCATTCCATCTAATAATTATAACCAAACATAGGAACGGAACCGACCCATTCCCATGAAATGGAACCATGACATTCCTTTCTACTTTGTTCTTAAACCAAACACACCCATAGTGTTCCCCAAGTTCAACTGGTTGACATTTTTCCCTTTTTTCTTCTCCCTTTTCTATTTATTACTGTGCACACGAGGCCGGCCCAAGTATTGTAGAGCCTTCACCGAGAGATCCTTCCAGCTCGTTAATTGCGAAATATAGCGCTTGCGCTGATCTTGGAAAATGTCAACCGGCTGACGTGTAGTGTTCGCCAAGTTTAATTCCGCGCCCTGTGGACTAGCCCAGTCGCGCGACCCATTTGCGTCGGGTTCATGACGCATGCAAAATGCGACATCTATTTCTCGCATTAAGCGAGACGAGAGGCTGTTCTCGCTGAGGATTTTTCCTCTCCTCACTTTGTATTGGGCCGTCCCATCTGGGCACGCATATAGTACAAAAAGAGCAAGGAAAAGGCTTGGAGACCGCGTGTGTTGCTACCACTCCGCGCAAGTCATGTTAGTGATAAGTTGTAGGTGTGCGTCGTAGTTGAGGCGATTCAAGCTGGTTTTCTTTGAGTTATTTATTATTTATTTTGGTTTCCGTTTCCTTTTTTCTTCTCTATTTTTCATTCTTATTTGCAATTTGTTTCTTTGTTTTTTCATTTCTTTTTTTCTTTGGTTTAATTTTCTTTGTTTTCTTTGTTCTCTTGGTTATTATTATACACTTTCTGTATACATCAACAACATTTTTTTAATACACATCTAACATTTTTCAATACTTGTTCAGCATTTTTCAAATACTTGTTCAACATTTTTATATACATGATCAACATTTTTAAATACTTGTTCAACATTTTTAATTGCTTGTTCAATATTTTAATATACATGATCAACAATTTTTCAAACACTTGTTTTACATTTTTTTTCAAATACTTTTTTTTAACATTTTTCAAATATTAACGTTTTTATATACATGATCAACATTTTTTCAAATACTTATTTAACATTTTTTAGATACTCATTCAACATTTTTTTAATGCGTGATTAAGATTTTCCTACATATTATGTAAAGTATTGTTTTTGTAATATATATGTTTATACTATTTGAAAGTGTAAACAAAATAAAAAATAGAATTAAAAAGAAGAAAAATCGAGGCTGTGTAGTACCCGCGGACCTGGGCCGGCCCATATGCTCGCGCGTTTCAACGAGTCGGCCCGGCTCATGTTCGTGGACCTGAACGAGGGACATAGCCATGCCCGCACGCAAAATGCGTGTCCCCTTGCTGCCTTTGTACCACTAAAAAAAAATGCCGCCTTTGTCCGAAAAAGTGTAAAATTGAGCGCGGACTCAGGATTGCCCGCACGACCCACCAAGCCCGCTAGGGTTACCCCCTTTCTCTTCTCCCGAGCGCAACTTATCCCCTCCCGAGCGGAGCCGCCATAGCCGCCACCTCCTCCGCCCCTCTCCTGTGGCTGCCTCCGGCGCCGTGCGCCTCACCCTCCTCCCCATCTTCTCCATCGCTACCAACCACCGCCCTCCGCCACCCAAGTCGAGCCGCCGCCGCCCAAGTCGAGCCGCCGCCGCCGGATCAGCTTGCCGCCCACCTTCTCCCCATATGCTCCGTCCAGCCTGCCGCTTCTCTTAACCGCTGCCGGATCGAGCTCGCCTCGCAGCTGAACGGGGAGGTACCTCACGATTTCGTTGTCGTCTGATCTTAACTAATTTTGCTCTCTGATCTTAAATTGCAACAAGTCTGTGAGGATAACTACGAGGTATCTGTGATGGATGTGGGGTGGAGGAAGAGGGCGGAGGCGGTGATGGATTTGGGGAGTAGGAAGAATTGGGGGGTGTATACGGGCATATTCATTGTGCTCATGCTCGTCATACCCGCTATCCCGCATGATGAGGACTATCATGACTTTGCCGACCAACGCACACTTTTCCTTGGTAATTAATCTCCACTTTGCGCTTTTGTCTTATATAATCGGTTTGCCACCTGTTCTGTTGCTGCACACTAACATCAATTCTGCTGTTTTAATAATTTAAAGTTTGTAATTTTATAGGTTTATAAGTCCAATAAACTCAATACAAGTGACAGGGGAGATTCGGATGAAGTAAAACGTAGATTTGGCTAAATTAAGCTCCAGTCAAAAGAAAGTAAAACATATTTGGCTAAATTATGCTCCATTTAAAAAAACGCTTCTGATTGATAGAACACAAATCATAATTTTTTTTTTCATGCAAGTAAAGTCTGGGGCATAGTTATATTGGTTAATTAATATTGAATAACATTTATGTTTTATTTTGTAGGGATCCCTAATACGCTGAATGTGATCTCAATAATTCCCTTCATTTTTGTTGGTCTTGCCGGGCTTATCCTTAACCACTGCGAAAGGTACTGTTAGCCATGGTGTAGATTTGATGCTTATGCTAATTTTGGTTTCTGTTTTAACTCTAATTAATATTTGAAACACTCGAATGTTAATACTTAATCGCGCTGGCAGCTCACAGAGGTGTCTCTACACAATCTTCTTTGCTGGTGTCAGTGTTGTTGGTTTTGGTTCATTCTTTTACCATCTCAACCCGAAAAATGACTCACTATTTTGGGACACATTGCCAGTAAGTCTTTCCTAGACTTCTATGTAGTAGGACTAACATTCAGCACCATGTTTGTATATAAAATTGCTTGGAAAGAAATAATCGATATCCCCTTTTTGCTTCTACTCTCTTGATGTTTAATATACTGAAGGATGACATGTTGGTTTGCTTGTCTAGATGATGGTCACTTTCACATCTTTCGAGGCCATTTTCATTATCGAAAGGTTTGATGATTTGGCAGGAACAAAGTCGTTTGCATCAACGAGCTACTGGCTATGTGCAGCAGGTTAGTATTATTCTTGCACAATATAATGCATGCATTTTCATCTTTTGTGTAGGTTGCTATTTGTGATTCATCTCAATATACTTAGTTTTTTAATAGTTCGTTTCTCATAGGACATGAATTAATGGTTGTTCTTACTAAAAGTGCAATTGAATATGACCTAATTTATACAATCTGATTTTGTTTTCTTCTATTGAAAATATTTTTTTCAGGATTTTACGTTCTTGCAAGAGTACAAGAGGTTGCAGACAAACCAATTTATACGTGGACACTTCATATTGTCAGTGGGCATACTCTTGGTCATTTATGTGCTGCAATGGTGCCTCTTTTTTATATTCTCTTGTTAGAGAAAAGGACAAGGCCAATTCAACCAGAAAGGTATGAACTGATAATTCCATAGACTCCATGATTGTCTGTACTTATATTTCTTTATGAAAGTGGAATTTGATTCAACTGTGCACGGTAGTTCTTACCAAACTTAATGTGGTGAGCACCGCTCCAACAAATACTTTCCTTGTTCCTTTCCAAATATTTGTGTTTTGTCATCCAGTCTAGTTCTGCTAACAATTTGAACACATTAAGGTTGGATTTGCTCATGTGACATGGTTGTTTGTTTGGTTGTGTGGTGAAGGGCATGTGCTTGGAGATGGGGAAGTGTCACATCCATGATCCACACAATATATTTGATGCATTTGTTGGATACATTTATTTAACAATCATTGAAAAAATTGTGAATGCCACTGCGTTGAATCATTATGCCATACATTATTTAATTGCATTCATCTGCTTATGCATTTTGTCCACCACTAGAGTTTCCATTGTTCTATTAGTATATTGTAATTGTAATGCTGATCAATATGTCCTAATGCTCTTGTATATCAACTACTCAACCATATGCAGTGCGTGTTAAGTCTTTAGTCCCAAACAAGTTGGGGCAGGCTATGCTGAAACCCATAACATCTCACAACCAACTCATGGCTCTGGCACATGGATAGCTAGCTTTTACGCACCTCTGTTCATGGCTAGTTCTTTGGTGATACTCCAGTCATTCAGATCTCGCTTTACGGACTCCTCCTATGTCAAGTTTGGTCTACGCCAACCTCTCTTGACATTATACTCCTTAATTAATGACCCTCTCTTTGAATGCTTGAGCTACCCCTGAGCTTCCACCACTATGTTCTAGTGACTTTGGCGCTTATCCTGTTGGACACAAATCCGAAAGAGAATGTCATTCACCACAAGCTTATGCTGAGGACAACACTCTCTCTAGGTATCACCTTACAATCAAGACAAGCACGCCCGTCTTCTCTTCTCAAGAGGATGAAATCAATCTCGCTAGAGTGTTAACCACTACTAAAAGTCACTAGATTTGATTCTCTCTTTTTAAAGTGGGTGTTCGCTACGATCATGTCGTAGGCTAGTGCAAAGCTTAAGACATCTTCTATTTCTTGATTCCCGATGCGATAGCCAAAGCCCCGATGCATCGCTTCAAAACCTATGTTAGATGTACCCATGTGGCCATTGAGGTCTCGTCCTATGAAGAGCTTCTTGCCAATAGGGGCATACACGTTGATTACATTGAGAACAAAGTCCCCAGCTACCAGCTTGACCAGGATAATCCAGTCCCCACACCTCCTGACGTCTACCACTCCACACATGAGGCTCTTGTTGATCAAGATGCCTATTCCATTCCTGTTTGCAGTTGTCCCCGTGTACCATAGCTTGAAGCCGGTATCTCCACCTCCTTTGCTTTCTATCCTCTCCATTTGGTTTCTTGGACTCAATGGATATCAACGCCTCTCCTCACCGCTGTATGAACTAGCCCCCGAAGCTGTCAGAGTTCCTAAGTTCCAGCTACCTAAACGATTCTTCCTAGGCTCGGCTAGCTTCCTTATTCTTCAGTCGCCGAGTTAAATGCGAAGACCCTTCATTTTTCACTACAAGCGGGCGTTGATGTAGCGCGCCACTAAGGATGCGATGACCTGATCCTTGCTCACTTGTCATCGTATCCAGATCAAGATACTGCGCCACCTGGGGGGTGACGGGGGCCCTTGCCCATTTGGCACCACACCAGGGTTCTGATATGGCGCATCGCTGAGAGGGTTATGCCCCAAAGATTTTCTTCTGGGTTTCATCTCCATCAAGAGTGGCTGAGTTTTGATGTTGGCTCGCCAAGCCTATCACAACCCTCCTTTACTCGGGCTTGGGACCGGCTATGTTGAGACAACATAGGCGGAGTTGTCTTGTAGGGTACAAACAAAGAGTACAATTTTGATTACATGATCTGACAATTTCCCTCGTTTCAGGCACATGATTCTAGTGCATCATCAATTAAAGCTTGCTTTCATGGTCTGCTTATTGGTGCCCAAGATGATCTGCCTATGGATGCCCAAGTTACAGGTATGATAATCTGCTGATCCTTGTCCGAGCAAATAAGAGTCACTCCACATATTGACCATGTTGCTGCGTTGACTAGAGGCCTGACACTACACTAATTACTAACCTCCCTTGACAATTGACTCATTCCATGCCTATTATGTGTATTATATTATTGAGGTAATTGTACAATGATAACTTTACTTCCATGTGTCATGCTTTCTCCACAATTTTATTTAGTAAAATCTGTCTCTCTAGCATGCGTGTGATTCTTGCATTGATATTTATTTATTTGGATAACCTAATTAACTTCTTCCACACTCGTGCAAATTAGACAAGTGTTTTTTCATGTGTGACTTATTGACTGTGTTGTTGCTCTGAATCAGGTTAGTGCCATAATGTATGAAATCAGCATTTTGATGTGGGAGTTCAGTGCTCGTTATGTGGCTAATCAGGCAAAGACCTCTGAAGAGCGAGGAATGTTAGAAACCCCAATTCGTGCTCGGCAAATAGTGCCTCGTGTTCGCGGCCTTTATGGGATGGACATTTATAAGAATAAGGTCTTAGAATTCTTACAAAGTGAACGATCTGATGAGTCTATATTTGGATTATGGGGCACGTCGGGTGTTGGCAAGACACGGCTTCTTTCACTCATCGCTGATAGCTTTGCCGATTCATTTCATCACGTCATATTTCTTGATGGTGGTAGTAGCGTCAGAGTTATGCAAAATCATTTCGCATACTTTTTGAAATTGGATTGGGAGACAATCTCATTGTTGGAGGAGCATTACCGAGCTAAAATCATCATGGAGTACCTAGAGCATGTCAGTTTTTTGGTTCTGTTAGACGATGTGCAAGATGAAGTCTACCCAGATTTGACAGCTGTTGGTTTGCCGATGGCTCTTGGGCATAGGCAAAAGGTTATTCTTACGTCGAGGAGTCAGGTAGCATGTGCTCGCATGGGATGCACCATATCAAACACTCTGGAGATGAAGTGTCTCGGGGATGAAGATGCTTGGAGTCTTTTCGAGTATAATGCGGGAGTAAAAATCACAGAAGCTGATACTGAAATTTATGAATATGCAAAAAAGGTAATATATATTTCTACAGAATAACTTTTTCAGATATACTTTTAACCAACACATAAAAACTGTGCACTATAATTTATAGTTTATATTGGTTATCAGATGGTTTCAGCATGTGGAGGGTTGCCTAGAGCCATATGTGCTATTGGCATAGGCGTAGCCGGTGCCACTTGCAGGGGAAAACATCCAGATGATTGGTGGTTTACCTACAAGCGTTTCAAGGCTAAAAATCTGCCACCGGAACGAATGGAAGAAATAGTGCCTGTTCTGGTTTAGGTAAGTGAAAACTCTAAAGTAGTGTGAGATAGCAGATTGTACATGCCTGAGTGCTCAAGAAATACCCCTGGCAAAAGCAAATGTATACTCCCTCCATGCCATATTAGTTATCGCTCAAACATATGTATCTACTTCTAGATACATCCGTCTGAGCGACAATTAATATGGGATGGAGGGAGTATTTCTGAACGGAAAATTACTTGGTAGTAGTTCTCATTATGAGGCTTGAATAAATTCAAGGCCTTGCACGGATGCCTTATTCATGATGGTGAAGGAAATCATTCCAGAGATTGCTTAACATCAAAGTTTAGGAAACCATTCAGATTTATGTCTCTAAACAGTTCTTTGTAAGCATTTTGCCATTACCTGCTCAAATCCCCAGGTTGGGCTCGAGACCAACCAGCCCCTGGGTATCCTCAGTGTCCAATGGACATGCATCCTCAGTGTCCAATTGGGGATTTCCTTTTTAGAGCTTCAGGAGTTGCATTTGGTATCAGCTTTTTTTTGTTGATATATTCTTCTTGAGGACAATTCAAGCCATTAGATGTAAAACACGAGAGAACACATAACTGAATAATCTGTGCTAGGTATAGCTGTAACTTTAGCTGCACCAGTATTGGCAGGATATGAAGTTGCATGATGAGTAGCCTGCCTCTCTAAGTCTTGCATCTGAGTCCAGCGGATAGACTTTGATGGAAGATTTACTCGCACAAGTTGTAGTATTAGGCGGCACATTTTATATGGCTGAGTGTTAAAAAAGGAGTAGATGGCACAACCCTTCTTGGGATTTGTGTGACATTTGCACAGCAATCAAAGAGGAATCAAGTGCCTTGCACACAAGTGCATGTAATTACTATTTACTCCCTTTGTAAATTAATATAAGATCTTCTAGGTCACTACTTTACAGAGGGAGTACTTGATAGGCCTAGCCTCTGCTTTAGCTTTGCAGTTGATTTCACTCTGGTATGTGTTCTCTTTTATGCCTGCTCATGTGAAGGACCGCTGCTCTGGTTTCAGGCAACTTGTGCGTGGCTCCTAGGAGCTGTGGAGACATGGTTGGACTTCATTACGTGTTGCTGCCACAATGAAGTGTTGGAAGAGTCCAGATGGCGGCAGTTTGATGCTTACTTGTGAATATGGTGTGATATGTTTGATGATATTACTTTTTCTAGTATGTGTTTTCTTGACTTGTCAGTCTTCTGATGCGTAAACACAGAGAGCAGAACACCTTCATGCTCCTTAAGCACTCCGGGCAGTTGGCCTTTTAAAAATTGTATTATATAATTGGGGCCGTCCGATCTCCTATCAACCGTCCGAGAATCGCTGCCTTGGTAAACTGACGCCTTACACGCCATCGGCGTTGGCGTTGACGTACGAACTCGAGGTGAAGCACAACGGTCGCCCTTCCCCGGCCATGTTCGTTGTGATCGCTGATGGCTGTTCGTCTGATATGCCAACAACGTGAGTTAAATTGCATCTATGGTCCTTGTACTAGTTGCATCTATGGTCCTTGTACTAGTTGGCATGTAACACAACGGTCCTGCAATTCTGTAAAATGCTCCAATATGGTCCTCGAAGATGGAAATACGTCACACGTATATGTATGGTCCTGACTACGTCTCCTGATATGCACAGCACCACATGAGTGTACAGTATAGATACAGGACCCACATGTCAGCATGCCAAAGAGGAATAAGATGGAAAAATAATAAATTGCACACTGGGATTAGAACCCGACACCTCCCGCCAAATTGACAAACACAAGCTAGCCAAATGATATCCGAGTAACGAAAATAGCTTTTTTTTAGACAAGCATATCGAATAGCTAGAACGCTACTATTGTGCTGATGCATTTTCTTAAGATTTCCTTTTTATATTCTCCTAGGTTTGTGTCCATTTTCCCCATATAAAAAATAAAATAATTATTAATATACAATAAGCTGTATATTTAAATCTTTATTATATCTTAAATTTTGTGTTTCATGAACTTTTTCTAAATTTTGTACGGATATATAAAAAGAAATGAAAGAAAAATATATTTATCTTTATTCATGACCACAAGCGTGCACAAGTATTATGTACTCTCACTGTATTTTTAAATTACATAATTATTTGAAAAATACAACACGTATTTTGAATAATGTTCAGCATGATTTTAGAAAATGGTTATCTTTTTGCCCTATTATTTGCCCAACAACCGTTTTTGTTTTGTCCAAGTTTGTGTTTATTTCCTCATCTTAAATTAGGTGAACAAGCACGCAGAATTGTTGTGTCTTCAATGTAATTTTTAAAATGCAAAATTCTTAAAAAATTGACAGTATGTTGAGCAATAGTCAACGTGTTTCGAAAATTATTGTGTAATAATAATAAGTTCTAGAAATGTATTTAAAATGTTTAACTTGTATGTGTTTCCTCATATGTAAGACTAATTTTACACTATTGTTTTTGATGCACGTGAAATAATCATAGTTTTAAATAGCCGGCTATAGCCCCACTATAGCATTTTCAGCAGGGTGCCGCTAAATGGTCGCATGTACAAATAGCCTGCTATAGCTCCGTTATAGCTGATTTGGAGGTCCGTCGCTATTTAGCATAACCCGCTATTTAAAACACTGGAAATAATGCATGACGAACATTTTTAAAAAACATGTCAACAATTTTAACACACCTCCAACATTTTCCAAAAACAATTGTTGAGCATTTTTTTTCTCATATGCACAAACACTTCTCTTAATTTTCATGACACATGCAATTTTTCCTTATATTTTTTTTCAAATGGGAATCATAAAAATAAACTTGAACTTGAATTATTATTTTTAAAAAGAAATTGGTAGAAAACGGACACCATGATAATTCCTTGAAGAGTCTACTAAATAGTCGCATATATAAATTTTCAGCTTGTGCAGGAAGGCGAAACAGCGGCGGGGGTTAGGGTTTCTGCCTCCCGCCACCGCCGCTGCAGGTCCGCCTCCTCTCCGGTGGGCCTAGGGTCATGGGGGCGCGGTGACTCCCTGTCTATAACTTCGACGATGGGTGGCGATGACGACGGCACGCCTTCGGTTCACTTCAGTGCTGGTATTCATCGCTGGATGGTCTATGGATCTGGATATAATTTTTATTATTTCTGGTACTCGTTGTACTATCATGACTGAAAAAAAATAGATTAAAAAATTTCTCGCAAAAAAAAGCAACAACCAAACCAAAATAGTTAACACAAACTAGCTAACCGATAATTCAGTTAATCGGTTCGGTTTTCAGTTTACACCGAAACTGCTTTATTGCTTACTATGCAGCTGCGAGTGCTTCTGTTTCACCCCGCCCTCTTATATAAGGCCTTGTACAATGCAAGATGCTTAGGAGAGGTGCTTAGAAAAATAAACCAGACTTTTTTAAGCACCGGTGCTTATTTGTACAGGATAGGCGCTTAACTAAGCGTCTCTCCTTTAGAAAATGACACCGGTGCTTCAGAAAAACTCAGTTTATTTTTCTAAGCACCTCCCTAAGCATCTCCCATTGTACAAGGCCTAACCAAGCAACTCGTCTCCTTCAGTCCAGCCAGGTGATGTGGGACTAAAAGAATTGACAGTGCCCTGCCACTGAGCACTTCGCTAGTTGTGTTTGGGCCATGCAAATAGGTGGTCGGCCCATGTTTTATTTTACGTGGGGCTCGGTTCAAAAAAAAAAAGTAGCACGTTGGGGGGTTGAGGCAAGTGGGGCAAGCATGCTTTTGCTTTTGCTTCGTGTCCGATGCTAGGCGCCGGCGGACCGGTGGAAGCGTGCGCCGGTCAGCTAATAACCATTCAATCAAACTAATTTAATCCGTCCGATCGTATGTCACGTGGGCTGGTCGTCCCGTTTCCTTGCTTATATTATAGGAGTATTAAATAATTCTACAAACCGTTATTACTCCATACTCCATGTGTTGCCGTACTTTAGCCAGAAAATAAGGAGATCGTTTACTCCTCCCACACTCAATGCTGGACGCCAGCCCTTGTGCGCGTCACCGGCCCAACGCCTCCAGTCATGGTCGCTCGTACGTCGCGGCATAGGTGTCGGTGGCGTCCAACCAGCCGTCCCATGGTCTCACAACTTCGAGCATTGCGTGTCGCAGGAGTCGTCGCTCGTTGTAGCACCTAGTCGCCGCAGTAGTAGCACGCCACACGGCCGTTCCAGCAGCACCATGCACCACCACGCAGCTCCTTCGGCGTCACCACTTGCACCATGGTAACCCTGCCATATCCGGTTGAAGCTTTTTCTATTGCCGATTGTAGCTTTTTTGGTTGTCCGTTGTAGCTTTCTTTGGCCTTGATTGCAGCTTTCCTCACCGCGGTCGCAGCTTTCCCTATCACTGGTCACGGCCATCGCGTCACCAGTTGCAGCTCCATCGTGGGACGGTTGCATCTTGTCATAGCAAGGTTGCAGCATTCCCATGGTGTCGTAGTGGTCGGGCGCCGTCGTCGCCAGTGGTCGCCGTTCGCAGATCCGCCCTTGCTAGTCGAGCAGGATGTAGTCGCCCCGTAGAAAAACGTCGCCGTCTTGTTACAAGCCGACACCTATGTCGTTGCAGGACCTAGCAGCCGCCATCGTAGCACATCCGTCACTGCATCGGCGTGCCGCCGGCCAAACTTTCAATGTCCCGATTGAAGCTTTTTTCATCTATGATTGAAGCTTGTTATGTAAACGATTGCAACTCCTTTCGTTTTGCTGTGTCCGATTGAAACTTTGTATATCTTCCGGTTGAAGCTTTTTTCACCTATAGTTGAAGCTTTTTAAGTAACGGTTGCAACTTTTTCAGTTTGGCAGTGGCTGATTGAAGCTTCCGCTGTCGATGAATAAAGCTTTTTCGATCTAGGCTTGAAGCTTTTTTATCAATGGTTGTAACACCTGTATCGGTAGTTTCAACATCTCTGCCGCCCCTCTGTTTTATTCATCGGTTCTAGCTTTTGGATTCATCGGTTGCAGCGTCTGTACATTCGAATGCAACAATTTTATAGCAGGAG